TTAGAATAGAGCTTTGGGGTAAATTATGCTGTAGTTAAAATAAGGAGGCCCCAAAACCCTATTCTAATTATTAAGGCCGCTATATTACAGGCCTTAGGGGTCACACTTCCGGGTTCCGGGCTTAAGAGCTTTAGCTTGGGATTTCGGCTTTGAAGCGCTTTAGGGCTGCAGGGTTTAGCCGGGAGCCCAATACTCCTTAATTAAGCAATATACTTCAAGGCATAAGGGACTCAATATTATGATTTAAGGTATATTCCCTAATTAAGGGGTATTGGGCTCTGTGGGTGGGTCTATAGGGATTTGGGATGCAAGTGAGCGAGGAGCCAGATTGCCCAGGAAGGGAAGATCCGAAGCGGAGAGGGCGAAGGACATGTGAAGCGTCCTGAGATGGTGGAGCTTTCGGGTTTAGGGTTTAGGGGTTTAGGGTTTAGGGATAATCTGGAAGACAGGGGAAAGAACCGCGTCAGCCTCGAGGAAAGGACACAACCCGAAAATGACGTCAGCGAGCTGGGTTAAGCTTTAGGGTTTAGGGTTTAGGGTTTGAGATCGATGGTCTACTTTCCTTCAACCCTAAGTGGGAGTTGGGGTTTAGTTGCCCTAAACTTTGAACCACGAACCCAAGCCCCAAACCCTCGACTCATCACCCAAAGCCATTGTGCCCAACACTTTCTTTGGAGGGAGGTTTGGATTTCAGGGTTGATTGAGAAAAATGGGGACCTGAATGGATTGAATAGGGCTTTGGAGACTGTTGTAGTAGAGACACATTCTGTTTGAAGGCTGAGATGTTCAGCCAGAACTTGTGTTGCATAGGCCCCTCAACCTTAAATAGGTAGGCTTTACCTGAATGTCGACTCTACCCCCCATGGCAAAAAATCTAAAACTCGGCAAAGCCCAAGCATCCGTCATAACCCCGAGCCCCCAAGCCCTAACCGAAAGTCTCCGCCAAGAGTCAGCTGCCCCAGCGTGCTGCATGACGCACCCGCCGGCACCATTCTTTCGAACCAAAAGCTCGCGGTCTACGATTGAGGTGCATGTCTATAACTTTGCAACAGGCTTTTTGCATGTGGTGCTCGGAGCCGGAAAGTATGCCTGCGTTCAAACACCCATCAACCAAACTTGCCAAAAAATCTCTGTTGAAATGGGAATCTCTGAACCCGAAGCCCGGCATGAACTCACCAGGCCCTATGGAAACACCCTAACCCTACGTCAACCCCAAGTCCGGCCTAAACTTTAAACCCGATACAAACCAATTAACCCCATGCTTGCCTCCTTGCTTCTGTAGTATCCGCGCCATACGGTTGATGACATAAATCTTGCATTATTACCTTAGAAGGACCCTAAACTATGGGAAATATGGTACATTCCTTAAGTTATGGGTAATGCAGGATTTTTATCATCAACCGTAGTGAGGTTGTGAGGGCATCCGCCTTCACAAGGAATCCCAAATCCAGGAGGGCTCAAGCATAAACTCTCAACTTGAAGGAATCCCTAAACGGGACCCCTTCAGGATTCCTTTTCGGGGTTCCTTTTGGCGAAGGAATCTCCCTGAAAGGGAACCGATTTGTGGCATCTTTCGGCCCCTGTCCTGTTTAAACCATCTAAGGGCCTTAATGACTAAAATAGTGATTGGTGGTATACTAGACTGGCATTATACTCAGGAGCCCGGCCTAACGTATAGGGTTTATCCTAAACCCTAAACCCTACAAACCCGAAACCCTAAACGCTTAAACCCTAAAAGCCCTAAAAAGCCTAAAACCCAAAACCCTAAACCCCTAAACCCTATAAAGTATAGGCAGTATAGGGTTTACGCTGTCACAGGAGTGACCAGGCGAGGCCTCCTCCTTGGTGCGCGGGTCGGAGTGAAGCCAGAATATAAGGTTGGGGTTCATAGGGTTTAGGGTTTATAGGGTTTAGGGCTTATAGGGTTTAGGGTTTTTTGGTTTAGGGTTTATTGGATTTAGGATTCAGGGATATCCAAGGATCATAAGACGTAGTACAAGTGGGCAACTTCGATATGAGTAGGCCTATGAATCCATCTCTGATGTGCGGCTACTGTGCTTGCAATTGGTACAGTACTTGTCACCTGTAAGTTACGATATCTCCTGATCCCCACACCGCCTCGACTGTTGGGCCTTAATGATTACAGTATATAATTTAATGATCTAGGTTCTACGAGGGGGGTACCATTAGCAGATATTCCGACCCCGCTATATCACATCCCTAACGCCGAAAACGAAAGTCGGGAAACCTGCTTACTGAGTCCTCTGATCCTTCCGGCAGTGTCTGAGGGCATGTAGGACTTAGGAACTTGATTAAAAGACACTGGCCCCGTAACACCTAAATATTAGGTTTCATCGAAAAATGTAAAAAAAAGTAAAGACCCAGGGTTTCTTAATCAGGGTTCTATACTAGGATTCACCAACCCTGTTTGACAGCCTCCGGCTCGTTTAGCTTGCTGGTGCAGCTAAGAGAAATAAACCTGGGAACGTACAAACAAGGCGTGCAATTACACCAAAACGGTTGAAGGTTACAGAATCGACTAACCCCTAAACCCAACACCTTTTTGGGCGGGAGAAGCTGTACAACTCCGTGCGCAAAGATGGAAGCTTTGAAACGCGTGGGCGGCGACCTTGCCCCTCCAAAGCCTTCGGGTTTTTGGAGGTTTTGGGGTTTAGGATTAGGGATTAGGGGTTTAGGGCTTAGGGGGATTTGGGTTTAGGGGGATTTGGGTTTAAGGTTTAGGGTTTAGGGTACCTTAAGCTAACCAAAAACCTACTTGTGTAGGGCCGATAGGTTCGATGTTGGGGTGCATATAAGAACCGCCAAAATCATAGATTATGGGGACAAAAACGGGGTAGTTCTCTAAATTAGGGTCCTTTTGGGATCCTTTTCTATTAGGATGCTGTACTCTTTTGGGGACCCCAAAAGGGACCCCAATTTAGAGAACTTCCCATAAACCCTAAACCCATAAACCCTAAACCCCCAAAAGGGGTCCTTCCCATAAACTATGAGTCGCTCATGTTTAGAAGGGTGGGGGCTGCTGATGTGCAGCAGTTCGGTACTCAGGATGCAAACGAGGATCCCGGCTTTGGGGTTTAGGGCATAGGGGTTTCGGGGTTAGGGGATTAGGGTTTAGGGTTTATGGGTTTAGGTTTTTCGGGTTTAGGGTTTATGAGGCTTATGGGTTTAGGGGTGTATGGGTTTTATGGATTCATTGGCTAGGGTTTAGGGAGGATCCAATTCCTGTCCTAGTACTTGCTGAGGCCTGCCTAAAAACTACGAGGCAGCGGCTGGGGCTCGAACCTCTGAGCGCTTAGAGATTGCAGGGGTGCCGAGGGAGTTCAACTGCTAGGCCCTCGGAAGGGCTCGGTGATTCTTGGGGTTTCAGGATCGAGTTTAGGATTTTGAGGGCTTTTTTCTCGGGGGCAGCTTCGGGGAGAGCTTCGGGGTTGGTCTGGGGGGCAGGCCGCGGCTCACGAATCTTTGCCAGAGCAGGTGTCTGAACCGGAGACCAAAACTCTCGGGTGATAAGTGGAATTTCCGGAAGGAGCGTGATCTTTACCACGTCCTCTGTGAAGAAAACCCTAGAAGTACAGGCAAAGCCTTTTCTGAAGCCTTGTTGAGGCAGCAGCGGGAGCTCGTACTCTCACCGAGCTCGAAATCTTGAAATCTCCAGCTCGGAGCTAGAGGACTTTGAGCCATGATTGAAAAACTGCGTGGCTTAAAGTTCAGGTTTCGAGAAGCCTGGAGTTATGGCTCTGTAGACCCTATCTGGGTAGTTCTCCCCTTTTTTATGTCCCGAACACAGTACGGCACCCGTTTAGAAAACTGCCTATCTACATCCTGATTAAGTTAAGCGGTTTGAAGCTCTTGACAAGCACCTCCGCGTGAGCCCTCCCTGCCGGTTGACGCTCTTGGCCACAGGCACCGCGGGGGCTCACGATCGAGGAGGCATCGGTTTTGAGAATGTCTCGGCGAAGGGTTTGGGGTTTACGGTCATCGGCTTTGTAATTTTGGATTTGAGTGAAGGATGGGGTCGGTCCTGGGGAGGAGTCTGGTACAAGAAACGCGCCTAAGCTTGGTTGGAACCTTGACCCGTCTGATTGAGGGCCTGGAATGACCACGGAAACGTCCCAGAGACCCCAAAAGCCCTTAGCCAAGGCAGGCTCTGAGATTCCTACTAAGGGGCTCTCTGAAGATTGAAGGATATCCCCCTAAAACCCTGAACCCCTGACGACCCTAAGCCCTGACAGCCTCCGCTCAGCTAAGGGCTCTTGCAGTTTCCGGCATTTCAGATCTCGATGGATCTGACTTTGCAAAGCCGGCGCGTGAAACGCGCCGCGGGCTCCAGCAAGTCGAAGCCCGTGAGCTTCTTCGTCAGCAAGCCTTTTCTTCGGGTTGATGTAGGGGCCTAAATAGTTATTGATACTGTTTGGGGGATTCCTGATTATAACTATAGTGTAATACCTATTCTAATTATTAAGGCCCCTACATAAAGGGTTTAAGGCTCTTTGAGTTTCGGGTTCTGGGGTTGGGGGTTTTAGGGTTTGGGGGATGACAAGATTGAGTGGTGCCCAAGTGTAGGTGTTCTGAAGCGTGTCTGCAGACTTTTATGACTTGAGCTTTGAGCTTTGGGACAGTTTTACCTATAGAGTTTCCATTGTAGTTTATTGGTTTAACCAATTTCACTAGCAGGATCCTGGATGTAATGTAAAACCCCTTAAGAAGGAACTACAATGGAGACTAGAGGTACGGCTTCAGATAGCTGAAGCTTTGGGAATTCAGAGCCCTCTCTACACGCCCCAAAATATCTCAGTTTAGGGTTTTGGGTTTTGGGTTTAGGACCCTTTTTTTTTTGAGCATGGGCTTGGATTGCATGCCGGCAAGACGCTAAACCTAAACCCTCAACTGTCCTAGACCCTTAAACCGTAGTTATCTCTCCGCTGTCTTGTTCCAGCACCTCCTGAGCCCCCAGCCCCCAGCCTCGGAACTTCTAAACCTTACACCTTTACAAAGCTCACAAAACCGACTGAGGGAATTCCCGAAGCCCTCTTCTTAATCCTTCGGAGCCTAAACCCCCAAGGAAGAAAAGTCCTTCCGCTGCCTCGATTCCCAAAGATCAGCATCTGGAGAGCTGCATCGAACTCCCGCACAGAAGACACCTTCTGCAAGATCATCTCTTTGTCCTCCGACGTCTTCGTAGCTGCGTCGTCTGGCTCAGGTAACGGCTACATAAAGCAGCAAAAGCTACGGCTAAGGTTGCCTGCTCCACTTTGGGGTTTGTTGGCCAACCACAGCCGAGAGCCCTGCCGTGCTTCCAACGATCCCAGTTGTGACGAGATGGCACATGTAGTGAAGACAGTTGTACGTAAGCATTGTACCGCAAAGAGCCATAGCCCCTCAGCCGTGTATCCTGAACTCTAAACCCTATCCTGAATCCCAAACCCAAAACCCAAAACCCTATCCTGAACCCTAAACCCTAAACTCGAAACGCGTACATGGGGCCGGGAATTTCGGGAAGAGCTGCATCGCATTGACCCGAACTCTCGGGGTGCACATCCTCCCCGTCCCCTGAATGAAGAAACACACACACACACACCTTGAATTAAGTATCCTTACATCACAAGAATCTTAAGCTTAGGGTTGAGGGTATAGGGTTTAGGATTTAGAGTAAAATTATTACGCCGATTTTCACTTCAGGTCTCTGTCACATATCATTTTGCTGGAGGGGTATTGGGCTCTCCGGGTCTCTGCCAGCAACGACCTCCCAATACCCCTTTAAATAAGGACTATACCTTAAATCATCATATTAAGGCCCCTATAATTTAAGGTATATTCCTTATTTAAGGGGTATTTCCACTGCGACTCCGTTCTCCCTACGTCCTCCGGCCGCGACGAGAGGCTATTGGCGACGCTGAGGTTGACCTCATGATGGGCTCAGGACTGAAGAACTTACGGTGTACGTTGTGTTTGCAGGAGTTTACGGCTAAGTTCAGGGGCCGTTCTGCGCGAAAGACCTACCCAGAGATCGCTAAAAAGTAGTGCGAGCGGATCACAACTCAACGCATGGGACGATCAGTCTAAGAGAATAAGAAACAGTCTCCGAAACCCTAGGCACGAAATTAATTCACTCGGTCCGATCAAGTCTCATAATTTCGAACTCACAACCCCCTGGGCAAACGAGAACCCCTTCGGGACGAAGCCTAGGCAATCTCAGGCTCGGGGCATTAATCGAAACCTGTGCATTGCTCAGTGCGGCCTCATGCTGTTGCTGGCTGTTGCTTGTTACCTTGGGGCTGATGATGCCTGGTTTGTACACAGAGCCTGCACCTTTTGGGGCCTATGATGATGTAATCTCGAGGATCGTTTCCTTGATGGTGGATTCTCTATACGATTATGGTATAGACTATAGTTACTGCAGTATACTATAACACACTTGAACGTACTCGCACATGCTATTATCTACGTTTTCTATAGGTAGCCATGGCCTGTTAAGATTGCGAGGTCCCTTCCGCAGGGCCTCAGCGCGCAGGATCGAGTCTGCATGAAAGTCTCACCCTTACCACGGGGGTTTTGGGTTTAGGAGTTTAGGGTTTATAATGCAGGGGCCCGGAAAGGAGGTTTGCGGGGGGGCACTGGGTGTTTCAGCTTTTGAAAGCCCTTAAGCTTAAACTTTACTTCTTAACTCTGCCTTCCATCGACCCAACCGTCCCGAAGCCATATTACACCGAATCTCTGAACCGAAAGCTCTAGAATACAATCAATGAGCGCTTGCCCCTGAACCTGCTCCCCTAAACACACCATACAAACCTTAGACTTCTTCATCTCCAAGGTTTAGGGTCTAGGGTTTAGGGAAGGCCTCAATCCCCAAAGATCCTTTAAACTTAGACCAGAAAAGCTGTCCCATGAAGCCTGCTGCTCGGAAGCGACCCACTCGGCGAAGTAAAGTCCTATGTAAACCGACATAGCAGAAACCCTCGTCGAAGCCAAACTAAACCCTAAACCCCTAAACCCTAAGCCCTGAACCCACCCTTAACCCCTGGACCCCTAAGCTCTAAACCCCCAAACCCCTAAAACCCAAACCCCTAAACTCTAAGGCCCTAGCCAGGCCCCTCAAACCTAGTCAGCGAAGTCAACACTGCTAAGCCCCCGTGTAAAAGCCTTGATCAATACCGTTACAGGTCATGCAAAACCGAATACAAGGGCCTTAGTGATGAGAGTATGTCTTGGGGTATACTCCAACAAAACGGTAACACTCAGGAACCCTGCTGTGGAACAGCGGTGGGTAAGGTTTCAGACCCTCCCCTAATCCTCAATCCTAAACCCCTAAACCCCTAAACCCTAGTCCCTAAAATCCCCAACCCCAAAGTGCTCAGCGAAGTCACCAGGTATTCATAGATCGCCAGGTCTTCCGCTGTGGGGTCGAAAGGCTTGCTGGTCTCTAAGCAGACCTGGGGAGGTGGGGGGGTTCAGGGTCGCGCTGGGGGGGCCTCCGTTTAGGGCTTATAGGGGGTTAGGGTTTTAGGGTTTAGGGTTTAGGTTTTTTGGGTTTAGGGTTTTAGGGTTTAAGGAGTTTTAGGGTTTTAGGTTTTTTCCCTCCTACTTAGCAAGGACAGGGTTTAGGGTTTCAGGGTTTAGGGTTCAGGGGCTTTGCTGCCTCCAGAGTTTAGGGGTCTTTGGCCCTCCCAGCATGCAGTTCAGGGTGGAGGGTTGAAGGGTTACGGCTTGATCCTACGGAGACCAGGCACACTTTGTGGGATGTCCGCGCCGTGAGCAGCCACAAGTTCCGCGATACACCAGCTGCGGGAGAAAACGTCAAACTTGCGATCCACCGCGACGAGCTGCCTGAGAGAGCAGGATGTAGTATGCTAATTATTCAATATTAGCTTCAGTTGTTATGTTGAGGCTTATATTTGGTTTTAAGGCCGCTGACTAATGATCGAAGGGCTTGAGGCTTGGGGGACTAGGCTTCATAGAGAGTTACAAGGCTAGAGGAAGTCACTGTTTTAGAAATTAGACTGGTCTTGGCTGTGAGTCGCTGAATATATGTAGTCGGAGTCCTGACCTCCTTCTCGATGCCTCGAGCAAACCCTAAACCCCAAAACCCTAAACCCTAAAGCCCAAGCCCTAAACCCTTAACCCCCGAAGCCCTCTCTCTCGCGGACTCAGAGGACCCTAAACCCTGAACCCTTAAGCCCTAAACTCTCGCAGCCCTAAACCCGAAACCTCGAATCCTACTAGGATGCTTTGGAGTTGGGGCTTCGGGTGCCGGGTGCCAGAGTCTGGTAGCGACAAAAGGTGATGCTTGGTGCTTTTCGGGTTTAGGGTTTAGGGGTTTAGGGCTTTAGGGTTTAAGGCGTGTTTTGGCCCTAATGGGCTTTACCATAGTCGCAATGGGTGGTATCCGGGCTCAGGGAAGCAAGCTCCCAGGTCCAATAAGCACTCTTCTGTCAGGAACCCTGATGCAGCAAATAGGAACCAAAACCGAACGGCTAACGATAGCTTAGCATCTTGGGGTCTAGATCCCATGCAAGACGTCCTGCGCAGTATAGTTATGATCAGAAGCAGATCACATTCCCGGATCACCGATCCCATATTGCACTCGCTGCCTCAAGCGAGGGTTCTTGTACTGAAGCCACAGCATCATGGCATCAAACTTGTTCACCTCCCCATGTAAAGGGGTGGGCGTCGGATGTGGCTGTAAGGAGAAATCAGACCTTCCACTTCCTACGAGTTCCTCGGTGTGATCTTGGCTGTGCTGCGGACGCTTCGTTTCGAACTTTTTATTCCAAGGTTCGTTCGGCACAAAGCACTCGTAGCCCGCCGCTTGCACTACCGCCAACGTGCGCCAACCACCATCACTTCTACACGACCCACGTCCACGACCGCCATGAGCCCTCAACTCGACCGAGCGCCTCGCAGTCCGGGTCGTCATTTGCAAGTTTCGACTCCCTGCAGTCGCAGAACGTGAGGGGCTCGCCTGAGGACGGCTGAAAACTGAATTTTTTTCGAGTCTTTTTCTGTGGAGAATGTGGGTTTAGGGCCGAGGGTTTAGGGCGGAGTGCGTGTGCGGGTCGGGGTTCCAGTGTACACTGAGCCCTGCAATGATATCTGCTGAACCCGACACATGCTTGGGGACAAAGGATCGTTCAAACACTGAGGATTGCAACATATTGCAACTCGATAAGACCGGGGCAATGACCCTAAACCTGTCAGTCCTGCACTTCTCTCTTCAAGACTACCTCACGAATCACACTAAGCAAATACACCCATGTACATTAACCCTCCACCCCCAACCTCATGACTCATGATTACCAATACTTCCTGTCATGCTATCTTAAACTCACCCATACCTTATTTTCCCTGAATCCTGCAGTTGCTACAGACAAACGTTCCTTTTGTTATAAACCAAAACCAAAATCCTGAACCCTCAGGCCCAGGATTCATAGAAATTGATTGCTTTCACGTGCATGGCAATAACTTCCTGACGGACGGAATAGAAGCACCGAGGACCAAAGTTCCAGCAGCAAATGTGTTTGCCTGACCCTTTGGGCTCGCCATGGACCTCCAAAAATAGGGCTTGTTTGGCATACTTCGAGGCCTTGGAGAGCCGCTTGATTTTTTGACAGTGAACCTCCAAAATCGCACACACACACACTGTGTGTGTGCACAATCAACCGAGCAAAAGTAAAAAGCAAAACCCGCCCAAAACCGCACCAAACTCGGGATCTGAACCCTAAACAGTTTCTATAAACCCAAAACCCTACGGACGGGACCCCGCGGCCTGTGACCCTCACCCCCCAGTCCCTAAACCCTTGGAACCCCGCCTGTATCCCCAAACCCTACAAAATAGTAGGTTATGACCCCTTAATTACAGGGTAGAACCCTTGAAACGGTAGGGTGTAGGGTTTAGGGTAAACAGGAGGTTATGACCCCGTAATTTTGAAGGCAAAAAACCCCTAGAACAATAGGTTTTTGGACCCCCCCAGGCGTAGCCTGTGACCGTGTCCCGGCAGTTCCGCTCCCAGCGAACCCTGGCCGCAGCATCCGCCGGGGCCGGGCCAGGCCCAGCGCAGATACCTCGGATCCATCGGGCTCCTATTTGGAGGTTCATGGGTAGTCATCAGTAGGGTTATACGTCCCTCAATATGAGTTATAACTATAGTTACCTTGCTTACAACCCCACTTATAACTACCCATGAACCTCCAAGTAGCGCCTTGGGTTCCTAGGGTTTAGGAGTTTAGGGCGGGTCGAACGGGTTTTCCGAGGGGTTTTTGGCGTTTTGGGGTGTCAGGCGTTTGAGCGTTTACAGTTTTGGGTGTTAGGGCTTGGGGCTTAGATGGGTTAAGGGCTTTGGTTTTTTGTTGCTTTTTGAAAAGGGGGGGCGGGGTTTAGGGTGCAGGGTTTAGGGTTTAAGTTGGCGTCAAGGGCTCAGGGATGTAATATTCTGTTTGAGCCTTGTTCATCTTCCGTGCAGCCGAAAGCGAGCTTTCGCTGGGCTTGAGAGTGCTGGTACTTCTCAAGGCTGAAAAAAACAGCGAGTGTACAGCGAAAGTGTGCGTCAACTTTCTCTCTACGCTTCGGCGGCCCGTTGGTGCAGCAAGCCACCCTTCGGGGCGTAGGTCACTGCACTGTAAAGCGCACACACACACATAAGTAACATAAAGGTGTTCTGGTGTAGGATTGGGATAGAGGGTTGCTGGGGTGACTTACTTAGTCTTCAGAATTCCATGCAGCGGAGGACGCAGAATCTCCACACACCCTTAACATCAGCCTGAACCCTAGCATATACCCTGAACCCGAAGATACCCCCAAAACCCCAAAACTAACCCTGAACCCTAAAGCCGACACTAAACCCTAACATACCCTAAACTAAACCCATAACATCTCTAAATCCCACAAAAATTGCCCCAAACCCATAATTAATACTCACCGGGGAAGATTCCTCGCACTTCTGAGCGGAGGACAAGACAAGAAGTGGCTTTACTGGTTTTAGGGTTCGCGGTATAAAGCTTTGTTGTTGCCTCCTAGGGTTTAGGGCTTGGGGGTTTGATGGTCTAGGGGCTTAGGGTTATATACTTGAATTTCTCTACTTGTTTCAGTAAGCCACGAAGCAAAGATAGCCCATTGCCATGCTAAACCCTAAACCCTATAATTACACACTAAAAGATCTCATGGCTGGGCCAACGAAAGCCGAGATGCTGGAGTGTTGGTTGACACAGAAACAACAAATCCTTGTCAGAGGCAAGGAAGGGAGCGAGGATCCTTTGTCTTTCCGGTACTGTATGTATGTATGTATGTATGTATGTATGTATGTAGGTACGTAGAATTTATTGATCTATCTATTGGTTTTTGTTATGCGACGCGTCGTGCTGCTCAGGTGGGGCCTAGCCTCAAATCCCAGTAAATGTTCGGGAGTTTTAGACCCACCATGAATGACGAAGTATACTAAGACTATCTCCCAAGCCCCAAACCCTGACCCTGAAGCACCAATAAAAGTCTACCCCGAAGGTTTGAAGACACGGCGCCTGAACGAAGATTTGCAGGGTGACCATGGAAGGAGCCGAAGACACCAGACGCAAGCACGACAGCACGACAGGACACCGACATATGTCTTCTGGGTTGAGGCTTGCGGTTTGAGGATTCGGGGCCGACACAAAGAGGTCCATGTTTAGGCATTAGCTGCGAAAGGCAAGGACTGAGTTCATTGGGGATTCCATTGAAGGTCTGAGTATTCTCCCGAGCAAATCAAAGGCAGTCGAACGTGAAAAATGCAACGACGCCAACACCCTGTTACCCATTTCCTGCTACAGAACAAGTGGGTGGTCCACAGGCGTCGTTAAGAAAAGTACGGACCCTGCTGTACGAGCCATGGTCTCTCGATGTTGAGGAGGAAGTAACTGAGGTTGCCTAACTAATCAGTATCAGAATATTATTCGTGACAACTCGTACTATTTCTGAATTTTCTTGTGCTATTGCTAGTATTGTTACTATGTTCAACATTAACAAACCTTCTTCTTATTATTAGTATGATTAGTAACATCTTTGGCCATTTATGGTTACGACTGAATCCTGACTGTTCGGACCCTCGTGCACAGAGAGAGCTCCGAGGGTCCAGTAGCTGTTGCCCAGCGTGCCCCTGGTGAGCAGCTGCTGCCGCAGGGTCTCCACATGCCCCTGCCGCAAGCATCGCGCAACCTTGTCGTACTCCTCGGCCAAGGAGGCCAGAATTTCAACTCTTGCAGGGTTTACGGTTTAAAATTTAAACCCTGAATCCTAGACCGTGTGTTTGCGGGATTTGGGATATCTGTTGGGGCTGGTGCTGCGGAACATATAAGTCGACTTACTAGCCTACGAACCCGGAAGCTCTGAACTCTGAGCATGGCTTTAAATTTCCAGGGTTTAGACTCTCGCAGCTGGGGCAATGCAGGCGAGGTTGGTCCACGGTTCGCAAGGGAGGCGCATCTGGTTTCAGGTCGACACTCACAAAAAGACTACGTCCCAACTCCCGAAGTCTCTCCAAGCCCACTAACCAGAGCAACTCAAACCAAACGGGCCAGATCAGGAGCGGGGGATCTGCGGCTCATATCGAGCCCTGTAAAACCCTGGTTAGAAAGGCCCCTTTGTTAGTTCTCAGCATGTCTATGCACATCACGGAATGGAGGACTCATGCAAACTCCAGACAACTGGGATGTGACGCAAATACCTGCCACAAGTACCTGAAGCGTTTGGCCAAGATTCGTCCTGACCCAGGGCATCTGCCACGACAGCGGCTACGAGGTCAAGGAAGAGGTTCGACCAGGAGTGCGTCACCATGCAGTCGGGCATCCGGTTGGCGGCACGGCCAGTTTGCTGCAGCAGCTCTGCGTAGGACATCCCACCCGAGCCCTGCCGCGATGCTGGAATGATTGCCTGGCGCACGACGTCGTGGGTCGTGGACCGGCAGGGATCAAAGTGTGGCATCCGAGAGCCTTCACATCCCAAGCTCTCATAGAAGTCGAGCAGTTCGGAAAGGTCGATGCTGCGAAGTGCCAGTTCCTGCACTTTGTCGTTCTCCTCCGTTGTGGGAAGCTCCTGTGACATCCGGCCCTAGAGATTCGAAACCCAATCCCAAAGGCTCTTAGGCTTTCTGCGAGCCGACCCTTAACCCGCAGGCGCCTCATGATTCTTTGAATTGAACATGGCTTGGGAGTATATTGCACTATATACTACTATGGTAGTATGATGGCAGACTGTAGCGCAATATTTTGAGACATGAATGTAGGACAGGTTGAGCCACGGGCCAGCCCTGAAAGATCGGCCTCTTTGGGGAATAGAAAGCTTGGTGGAACTGACTTGGCGACGAAGGTGTCTACCCTCAAGTGGGTAGCAGTGGCTGTCGTAGAAGTAGTAGTAGTCGTCGTCGTCGTCGTAGTAGTAGTAGTAGTGGTAGTGTTGGTTGTAGTAGTAGGACTAGGAATAGGAGTAGTGGTAGTAGCAGCAGTAGTAGCAGCTGCATTAGCAGTAGTAATCATAATAATAATAATAATAATTAGTAATCATAATCATAAAGGTAAACCTCGCAGACTAGCCCCCTTCTCCAAAACCCGATAACCCTATCATACAACCCAGACCTCCGTCAGCCGACTCATGCCGCGCAGGGCCCGGAGGCGTGGGACGCTCTGCTCGGTGAAGCTGACTTTCTCGGGTGGCTTCCTTCGCTGCGGTATATATGGTTATATGGGTGGTTCTCCACGTGAGGGTCTCTTTGAGGGTCTTTTCCATAAGGGTGCCGAGCTATTCGGGGACCGAAACCAGGGACACTAATTTAAAGAACTACTCACACGGGAGCCAGGGTCATAAGGCTTCTAGAAGATCTATCAGGCTGCTTCCGGACCCTGAAAGACACCCTCATAGAAGCCCTTAAGGCAAGATTCAGGATCCCAACGATGAAGACCAGACCGATGAGCTCCGCCGTGACATCCTCGGCTCTCGCTCGGGAACTTGAAATCTAAGCTACCAGAATAAGGAACACCCCTTATTCACCTTAGAGTTTAGGGTTTAGGGTCTAGGTAATCCCAAAAAGGAACTACTTAGGGGCCTATGGGTAGGGCTTTATCACGGTAACTTGAAAGTTAGGTTCCTTAGCAAGAGCCCAGCATCCATGAAGTGGTATCCGGGCACAATCAGCTGCCTCCACTCCTCTTCGGCTTCGACCCAGAAGTCGAATCTACCCAGCTATGACAGAGCCTCCATAAGCTCCCTTAAATACAGAAAAGCCCTTAGACTATGGAGGGACCGTGACTGTGGTATGGCTCTAGGGATGTAGCTTGGCTGACGTGGGAATCTCTAGATAAACTGCAGGGGAGTTACCAACTGCAACTCTCCACGAGTCAAGGCTGCCTTTGCGGGGAATCTCCCATGCTCCACGACCCAAGATCCAAAAGTACCAAAAGTCAACGGCAAACCCCAAAAAACCCTCCACCTCTGGAGCAAGGAAGATGGCAGGCAGGCAGAGGATGTGTGATGCTGCGCTCAGGATGCAGGAGAAGCACACGGCCATAATCCTGGGTTCTTGATAAGGAACCTGTTCTCAAGTTGCCATATTAATATTAAGGCTCTCAGCTAGTAGATCATAAGGTTTTCTTCACGTAGCTTGAATTTTACTCTGAGCAAGAACCCAGGATCATTCGATTCAAGACCCGCAAGCACCAGTCGCGCTCAGCGCTTGCATAACCTTGGCCCAGGGGGTTCGCAAGGTTTAGGGTTGAATGCTTGGGCATTAAACCCTAAACCCCCTAAACCCCCAAACCCTAAACTCTAAACCCTAACCCTTAAACCCTACAACCCTAAACCCGGGTTGGATGTGTGGGGTTCAGGGTCGCTTTGTGGGTTTCGGGTCGCTGCACTTAGAGTCCTGACAAGGTGGCTTTAAAGCCCTAAAGCACTCGAAGGGTTGAGGACACATGGGCATGGATCACGCCTTGGAGCTTGGTATATACGGCCTGGGCTATTTCGGGTTTTTCGGGCTTGGGGCAGGCTTCACCTTCTCCCCGGCCAGAAGCTGGTTTATCAAACCCCTAAGTTACTCTGAGCAAAGGCATGCCCAGCATGTGAAGGAGACGAGGCCACATGCACCACACCAGCCACATCCATCACGTACTGATCGAACCTTTAGGCTTAAGAAGTCTCCACAACAATGCCAAGTAAGGCCTAAACTCTACAATGGTACTTTCAGCGGTGAACAATCATGATATCTTAGCAGCCACAGTGTCAAAACCACGGCCCTGGACTGCAGAGAGCATGGATGCTAGAACAAATTCCGAAGATTTAGGGTTCAGGGTTTGGAGGGCTCTTCCTGAGACTGTTCCCTAGTATGGTGCTACTGTAGTGCAGCCCGGAATCCTGGTCCAACTAGACAGATGCTCCTACGATGTGCCCCCTAAGACCTTCCGAGACCAAGTAGCTCTCTTCACGAACAGACACTTCCTGCCAGGGCCGCAGAGATCTGGGGTTTAGGATGTCCCTTAAACTCAGAAGAACTACTTTTCTGTAGGGCCTTTGAAATAGGGCGGACCCTTCAGAGCTGGATTCGAGACCACACGAAGCATCCCCGACGAGGCGGCCCCGCGGTGACTTTAGCGACTTCAAGCTATTTGAAGGTTTAGGGTTTAGGGTGTGGTCGGAGGCGCGGTTCAAGTCAGAATTCCTCTTTAGACCTAACCTCAGAATCCCACGCTGACATCAAGGAGCCCTACAGCCTATAGTGTTTCGTAAGGGAACCCTTAAAGAGGTTTTTGACACGCCACCTTCAGGGCTCGTTTCACCCGCCGGAAGGCTCGCACCGCCACGACCAGAGTCATCAAAACCTCAGGTATGCACCAAGAGGGGCTTTGGTCTTAGGAGCGACTGTTTTGCACTATCGGTGTCACAGGTTCGCTTAACGGCTTTTGCGAAATGATGCGAAAATTGTGCGCAAAGGTCCATAAGGCTTTCTAGGACTTGCTAAAGTTTTGTACGCTTAGCCGAGCGTGGGGTTTCTTGTCAGGGAGATCCCACGAACGTCCACCTGCGTAGCGCCTGATTGCCTGTACAAAGGCATCATATTCCTGTGAAAGCCTGTAACATCCTGTAACCTGGCATGCCCCGGCCTTGTATAGTAGCGTATAGGTTGAGAATGGTGGGTCCTTCGTTGAATTTAGAATTCGGAGTTTGTCGATGCGGCTTGAGCTTTGCGCCTTTGGCTTGGGATTCAGGGTCCGGGCTCTCGCAGGCATCGCCCGGTCTTTGCCACTTCCGGGTTCAGGGCTTAGGGGTGAGTCATGCAGGCTACACCCAGAAGGCATAAGCTACCCCTTAAGTCGCGAATCTCCTGTAACTATATGATCTTTCGAGCATGTCGCACTTGTCAGCGCAATTAACTGGACTCAGGCTTTGTGGCTAGATCGAAGCGATGAATCTCGCCAAGCATCGCCCACTCCGGCCACGACATGATAGACAGACGACAAAACTTGAATCACCATGGTCGTCTGGGTCTGCCCGTAGATGCGCACGAAATCCACAGCGATCTGAAGGACAAAGAAGCTCCAACCTCAAAGCAGTTCGGGAGCTTATATTGTGATACAAACCTTTCGGGAGGGGATCGCACCGAACTTTCTGGGTTTCATCAATTTCGCCCCTAATGCCTTGCTCGTGCCTTGTCCTTCCCGACTTAAGCCGTAACCCTTCAACCCTAAAACCCCTAAACCCCTAACCACTAAACCCTAATCTCAAGGTAGGCCCCAAACAGCAAAGCCGGGCAACGAATCCGCCGCACTTGCTTCGCACCCAGCTCCACACCAAGGCCCCGTTCTGTAACCTTGAGGCGTTTCCTGGCTTGTCCCACGGCAGGATTTACCGTTCAAACCCGCAAAACTATGAAAGGCCACTAGTACCATCTAATGTGTAGAAAGACGAGGGTAACAGGATTCATGTACATCAAAAACCCATTACTAGCACTTAGTTTTTCAGATACATTGCGTCGAAGCCCTCCACCCAACACGGGAAAGCCTAACCTCCAAACCCCTAGGCCTTTGAACAAAACTGTCGTTGATGGACGTTTTCTGGACTTTGAAGTAACCAGGGAGAAAACAAGTATAGACTTTACTTCATAATGGTTGCTTTAAGGAACAGCCCCGAGAAAATATATTCAAGTATGGTACACTGGTACACCAGAACCGTTATAGAACGCTAACAGGACCCTGATAGAACCCGTATAGTACCCTTTAGGACACCAGAATCCTAGACCCTAAACCCTAAACCCTAAACCCTTAAACCCTTATCCCCTAAACCCCGTAAACCCCTAACCCCTAAACCCTAAACCCCTAAACCCTAAACCCCTAAACCCTGAACCCCTAAACCCTAAACCTAGTTTTTGAGCTCCGCAAACTCACACTTTTCAGACCACAGCCCGGCTGCTGGATCGAGTAGGTGAACGCGAACTCTAGGCAAGCGCAATTCCTCACGGCTTTTAGGGGTTTAGGGTTTAGGGGCTTGGGGTTTAGGGGCTTGGTTTTTTTCCTTTAGGGTTTAGGGGTTTGGGATTTTTGGGGGTTCGGGTTTAGGGTACTTAGGGGTTAGCGTACTTTACGAGTTTAGGGTTTAGGGTTCCGGGCTTGGGTTAAGGATGATTAGGTTTGGGGGTTTAGGCTTTCGTCAGACATCCCCGAACCGATGAAACGCGGACCCAAGCCACAGAAGACTCCAAGCATTCCCATGACACCGAGAAAAGGGTTAGGGTCTAGGCTTCTAGGATTTATAAGGTGTATAGGGTTTAGGCCTTTAGGGTCTCTGGGTTTAGGTTGTTATAGGGTTTATAAGGTTTAGGGTCTAGGGTATCCGAGCATCAGCTGTTTCAAACGATCAAGACGACTCACGGCGAGCGCCAACACGCATAAACAAGCGGAGCTAAAGTTAGAATCAGAAAAACAGGTTTACCCATAGGCTCCATAGTAGTTCGTTTTTGGGGCTGCCTTAATGAATCCTAAATATAAACCGCAAAACGGGACTATTATGGAGCCTAATTATGGGTAGGCGTCTGGACGTAAAGGCTTCATATTTCAGGGCTCAGGGTTGGGGGTGCTCAAGAAGAGACAGGTCTGATCTAACAGCTTTCAAAAAAAAACACACTCCGGGCAGAAATGCGGAAACTCCCACCGAAAAAAAAAACCCTCTGAATTTCATCCTGAGCCCTGACTTTTCCCTAAAGCTCTGACTTCCTCAAGTAAGCCAGGAAAACAGAAACGGTTAACCTTTCCGGATTACTTCTACACTTTTTGAGCCCAACAAGCTTGATACTACTAAACTATAAGAGCCCAAAAAGTGTAAAGGTTGGGAATTGGAGAACTAAGAAGTTCATAGCCACAAATTCCTCTAATCCTGGGACCCCAACAGAGCTGAGATCCCCAAAAGTATGAATCTAAATGGGAACCCCCCAAACAGCAGACCCGTAGAGGTAAGGCCGTGGCATCGCAGTATACTGCTTCTGATTCTGGCATTTTTGAACCGAGGTTCAAGCGATGCAGAGCTAAAGCAACTGACTGGATGTAGCTTGGCATGCTGCACCTTGACCCGGTGTGTTCCGCGCGGAGCATTCTGTTAGGACTCAGGGTTTAGGGCAGTTTTGGGTTTGGGTTTGAGGTGGAGGGTTTAGGGGCTTCAGGGCTTCGGGTTTAGTTTAGTTTTTTTTTGTAAAGGGCCTTTTAGATGACTGCATGAGCTTGTCTCCCAACCCTTTCGGGCAGGCTTCTGGGTCTCATTGAACCCCTTCATAAAAGCAAAACGAACCCTCAGACGTGGCACCCTCATGTGACCTTCTGGCAGACCGTCACCCTGTCGGCTTTGTGTTCAGCCCCCTCGCCATTCAGGGTTTGGGGTTTAGGGTTTAGGGGCTTTAGGGTTTAGGGTTCAGAGTTGGAGGTCTGAATGGGTACATTCAGTTCGCGGAAACACGAACCTGTTTGTTTTCTGTGCTTTGCATGGGGGTTCACGTCGAAGGGTTGTCTGCCCCGATTTAGGGTTTAGGGTTGTTAGGTTTAGGTTCGATGGTTTGTGGTGTGCGGTTTATGGGGCTTCGCTGTAGATTTCTGGGAACGGTATACGTCTTGGGCCTTGGGTTGCGGGGTTTAGTTTCCGGAGCAAGGATTCGGCTGAAAAGCCAAGGCACCAAATCGTCAACTCACGGGTCGCACCTAGCAGCCAGTATGCCCAGCCTATCCTGGGTTCTTTTTCACGGTTTAGGGTTTAGGGTTCTTGTTCAAGACTTAAGTTACCATAAAAGAGGAAACCACATTATTTAATCATAGATCTCTAATATTATTATTATTATCGTAATTCAAACTAAGTGCCTCAACAAGAACCCAGGATCATGAGGTAAACGTGCAAGGACCAGACCATCTCCGAGGAGCGGTCGATATTCCGCCAGAAGACGCGTAGAAAGAAGACCATGCAAAGATGCACTGCCGCTAAGACCTGATATGCGACGTAGAGGTCGGCAGCCTCAGGTCTGGCTAAGGATCTCCGGATTAAGAAAATTCAATGCATGAAAACAAATGAAAAATACAAAACAAACAAATGACAATAGTAACATCAAAATAAGCATCGTAATAGTCACCATGCAAAAATGAAAGTAAAAACAATGCTAACAAATAATAACATCTGCCCTCCCATGGCCATGTCTTAAGTTCCTTGATAAGAACCCAGCAGCTGGCAGGATAGCTGTTGAGGATGCTGTACACTCATCCATCCGTGCCGACGGAATCACCATCAAGGCCACCTTCGGGAGGTAAACCATAAAGTAATGCTGACGCCCGAATAAGTGGAACAGGGCTTTTTGGGGTATATTGGTGTATGCGCATACTAAGATAGTGAGGAACCGCCAAACCGGAAGGAATCATGCTGTGAATATCTTAAGCTTCTATGCAAAGGCTTCGACGCGCAGCTGCTTAGGCTGCAGAAACGTGATGTGCATCCCCAAGAAGAACCACAGAAACCACAACGAAAAAGGCATGCCTAATTTAAGTACTTTGGGTCTCAAGCAAGATTCAATCTTACGCTATATAACGGGGCGCTAATCATGCGAATAGGGTCTAGTCATGAGTCAGCCTGGAAAGCTACGAAGATGCAGGGAATCAGTCTTCTCCAAATCCGGGCTGAAGCGACGGGCCCGGTTTTCTCCGAGTCGACGCCGGTTAAGGAGGCTCCTGGATTGCTTTGAAGCTTTTGAAATACTATAGGGGCCTATAGGGGTCTTATTAATCAGACTAGTTTCTCGTGGTATATGAATGCGACAACCAGTTACGGTAGGGAGCCCGAAGAAATAATGTCGGAAAGGCTTCTATGCCATGGGGTTCAATGCTTAGGCTTCCCGGTTCAGGGTTCGGGGATTGGGATTCGGGCGCTTGGCTGTTTTTGACCACAATAATGCGATACGACTACTGTACGAATACTAGACTACTACCACAATACTACTGGAACTATCCTATAGAAAATAACTATACTGTACTACTAACCATCTTTTTTAGTGCATGGTATGGGGTCTGCAGGTTGGGACCTGGGGAAGCGCAAAAAAAACACTTCGACTGCTGGTAAGGAGGGTTCAGGATTTAGGGATGTTGAGGGGTTTCGAGGTTTAGGGTTTGGGATTTAAGGGTTTAGGTTTTAGGGTTGGTTTTAAGTTGAGGGGCTCGGTTTTCTTTTGGTTTAGGGTCTAGGTTGCTTTAGAGGTTTTAGATGGTTTTAGGGTTGACAGGGTTGTTTTGTTTTGGCTTAGGCTGTAGGGTTTATAGTTGCTGCTTTACGTGTAGGTTTTATGTTTTTCTTTGGCATGGACTCTCAAAACCAAAAAACATGAAAAGCCTAAACCATAAAACTAACGCCTCAACGAAGCCCTGCAGCTCTGGTTTCTAAGATTGGGGTTAAGGTTTCGGGAAGTGACTCTACCATGCAAACCATGAAGAAGGCATCGAAGAAGAGTTCTTCTCATCCTAGCCTGAGAAATCCCACACTGCCCTAAACCCTAAACCCTAAACCCTAAACCCTAAACCATAAACCCTAACAAGCCAACCCCAAGGGCACAACTGTCCCCTACACCCTAAACGACTGAGTCTCTCACCAGAGACCTAAGGACTCAAAGCTGCCTGATCACGTGGGCGTTACCCTGGCCTTCCGATGATCCGAAGACTGTACGATAACGTCTACCTTTGTCTAAATACAGTTATATACCAATATGTGTATGTGTATATATATATATATACATATCTCTCTCTCTCTCCCACTCGCTCTCTGTCTCGATAACTATGTCTATATCTGTACTATCTACGCGGACCCACTGTAACCCGCAAAGTAGGTCTGTTCGTCGTCTACTTGGAGCCATCAGGGTTAGTCTCGTGGTCAGTCTGAAGCGCCAAGTGTCTGGCGTGAGTGGCATCCACACTCAAGGATTTTGCCCCGCGGCAGCAATCCGCTGCTTTCTCTTCGCTCTTCATGGCTTCTGTCCGGCAGGCCAAGTTCCTTCGTATGGGGGGGCTTGGGGAGAGATCTGAGCTGTCGACGTTATGAGGCGAGCTTGGGGGTTCGAGGTTTTCAATCCTGGGTTGGTTGGATCTCCCTTGGGAGGGCTTGAGCCAACCAAGGTAGGTCGAGAGCGGGAGGTCAATCCTAAGGTCTGGTTGGTAGCCTCCTAAACCCCTAAACCCTTAACCCATGACTTGCTTGCTTGAATGGTTGGAGCCTGGTTCGACGGAGTTATCGATCATCGGTCACTGTAGCCCCAAACTTTGCGAACAGCATCCTCTTATGACAAACAAGCTAGAATACATCTCAAACTACATGTGTTTTCGCTGTAACAGCCAGAGACACGCTGTCACATGCAGCTTGGCCCCCGAGAATCAGTAGAACCTTAAAGTTGGAATACCTACTGTAGCGAAACCCCAAAACAACGGGCGCTATCTAGCCAGATTCTGATCAGGCTTTAACTTGTACAGTAAAATACCAATGTCAAACAGCTGGGAGGGTGCTGTACATAGTCGTTTCAGAGTCGTCGTCGCTTTATTACGACTAGTAAGTAGTACTAGTAGTGGTTGTAGAGCCGGTCGGCAATCCGCTTTCTCGTCCTTGCAACCGATACTGTCGCTCTGTGCTCAACTGACCCCTGCTGGGCTGCCACCATGACCTACCATGTCCAATCAAGCACGGGTCAAGCCAAGTACGTGCGATGTGCAGGGCACCCAAGTCAAGAGAAGCTAACATCCGAGACTGAACAAAATACCAATGCTATTCCTTAGGGCTCCGAGAATAACTAGACTGTGCGGAAATACGTCCCCAAACCGTATTCCAACTCTGATATCCCCTTTTTTATAACTACACGGAAAATATATGCCAAAACCCTTGTGTAGCTCTGAAGTCCCTTTCTTATGACTATACACGGAACATCTAGGCCGAAAACCTTAGCCTTAGTCGAACTCCGAAGGCCCCTACATTTCATGCGAAGAGAGTGCAGCCCCTGAGCTGGATGGAGCGCCTCAAGTACATACATTGACAGAGGGTGCCTTCTTGGAAGTTCATGGGTAGTGATAAATGGGGTTATGGGGTTCCTTTAAAGGTTCCGTTAAAGTTTAAAGGCTTCTGTAGGAGCAGGGCAACCATAGTCATAAGGCATATTAGGGTACTTATTCGCCCACTTATAAATACCCATGAACCTGCAAGTCTGGAGCCTTCATAATTAGAATAGGGTTCTGGGGCATCTGGAACCCCTTAAGGAAAAAATATTGGTAGCTATGTGGGCTCCTTTGTTGCCCCCTCTTCCGAAACTCAACAGCTGAATAAGGGGCCTTAAGAATTCAATAGTTGGAATTGGAATAGAGTTTTGTTGTAGATCTTGCTATGATGATAAGGAGGGGCCCTAAGGAATACCGTCCTTGTCCTGGAAGCCCAGCTAAGATCCGTGAAGTTGATATGGGAGGGCGCAGACAACCGAATTCTGGGGGCGACCACTGCCTAATTTGGTGGGGTTTGACCGGCAAGCTATGAGACCCAGCCGGAGATTCAGCTCAACCAGATGGCAGCATGACCCAGCAAAGCCTAGCCCATCCACCAGCCACTCGAAACACCATCTGAGAAGAAGTGGCTCAGTGGGCAGAGCTTGGAAGCGCGAGGTTTCATAATTTCGGGTCCCCGGCATGGCACGCACACCCTTTCGACGCCGGGGTAGTGTCCACAAGCGCCGCAGTGCTTACCTTAACCCCAAAGAACCTACCTTTTTAAGGACGTATATAAAGAAATTATAATAAGGAGCCCTAAAAAGGTAGGTTGTTTGGGGTCCAGGTAGGGCTTGAGGGTACAGCGGAACTCTGACGTCCGAAGCGCTGCGGGGGGCCCTGGCCACTAGGCCGGCGATTCGCACCGAAAGGCTGGCTTTAGGCTTTAGGGTTTGCCAGCACCCCCCAAATACCCTTCAATACAGGTATTTAGGGTAGAATAGAGGGTAGTTTGGGTGGGTGCTGGTGATACACTTCTCGATTTGTGCGTTTAGGGTTTAGGGTTTAAGGCCAGCAGCCTTTCGTCTAAACGTTTAGCGGGTGGGTTCCGATGTTCAAAAGACCCCCACGGATCACGAAGCGAGCTTCGCCGGGGAGTCCTCAAACAGAACCCTGAGACTAAGTGCCCCCGTGAGTGACACGATTCAGACAAAAAGTTATTGCCGCCAGCACTTCCCAAGTCTTGGACAGAATCCCCACACTTCCTTGTTGTGGTTTCTATTGGGGGGGGCCAGAGGTAAACCCTAATTAGAGTTTTTTTGCTTTCAGGACAACCGCGGCTCGGAGGGGGGTGGTCGCAAGATACCTGAGGTTAACTCGAGTTTGTTCTAACTGTCCCCTGCAAGCACCCAATCCAACGCTGATGTTCGGCTCCGAAAGTAATTGCGGAGATTCTCGCCATCCCTCCACGTCAGATTCACCTCCCCTCAACCCTTCCCTGACGCGACCAAAAGCCTCTACAGTCACTTACTCCACACTGGAAAGTGCTGCCTGCGGTTATGCGGCGGCCCCACAGAATTCAAAGCTGGCACAGGCTGCATGGAGCGTGCATCTGCAAAGGGGCGCTTCTGACCCTTTCTCCACAGCTCCGGCACAAAAAAAAAACATGATTCACGCTGTCAAGCTGAGCTGGCTTAGACTCTGCTGCACTGCCGCTATGGCTGGTCGATCTTCCCGAAACTCATGAATGCATTCATCCACCAATCGCAGGAGATCAGTCTTGGTTTGCTCCGGCGCGGTGCCCCAAGCTTCATGGAAAACCACCTGCCTTCGCCGTGCGCTTCGGTAATGGTCGGCCTCCTCTCCACATCCGGTGCCGATCATCAGGTCTAGAAGCACGACGGCGAAGGAAAAAATGTCAGACTCCTCTGAATTCGGGGGGGTGGAGACCCTGGATCCTAAGCTACTGGTGTCCGAACCCTGCCCAGCGAATCTGCACTCACGCTCCTTGGTGGATCCTCCGCCACGAAGACTGTCCGGATCAAGGTAACCCGGGCTCCCGCACACTCGACAAGTGCTGGACATCGACTGCCGCAACGCCCGGTCCTCATCGAGTGCGCAACCAGTAGGGGCGGCTGTGCTTCGGCCACCTCATGTTATCCTTTGTGATCGCAGTCTGATTTTGTAGCAGGGCGCGGTAGCAGTCGCAGCAGCATGGTAGAGGATGTCGTCGTCGTAGTAGTAGCAGCGGGAGTGGTACTAGTAGTCGTCGTCGGGGTAGCGGTAGGAGTGGGAGTAGCAGTAAGAGCTTTAACGCCGTGCTGAAATCAACCGAGCGGTAAGAACGACAGCGCCTTTGGGTCATGCACGGCTTCTGAGCTTTCGGACGTTCATGGTCTTTGTCGTCGTCGTTGTCGCCATCGTTGTGCTACCAGTAGTCATAGTCGTACTAGTCCAACAAGCAGCAACAGCAGCATCCACCCAAATTTAGGCCCCCTAACTAGTTTCCCGAAATCCTGATATTTTCACACCTTCCGAAACTACACCAGGCACCTAGGTGGCACAACATTGGTGTCACAAAACGCCGAGGCGCCCAGGGGGCGCTAGGAGTAGCCGTAGCAGTAGCCGTAGCAGTAGCAGCAGTAG